ATGCTAAACATGCATGGTGTTACCAAAACCAACACACAACAAGGTTATACATGAGCATAATAAGCATGAAAACAGCAAGACATGATCAATACACACTCTAAACATGATGCTTCTCAAGAGGCAAAAAGGGTCCCTTTCAAGCGACAACATAAGGAGAGGGGGTGGCCCTCCCCTTTTGGAGACTTCAAGGCACCATCTCCGCCACTGAAATCCCTCAAGATTTCAGTGGTGAAGAGGCCCAAACATCAAAGTCTCGAAACTCACTCAAAATGGCTCAAAATGGGGCCTTTCAAGGCCTAAGAGGGGTCAAACACCCTCAAACCACAAAACACTCTTAATAAACAATCAAGAGGGCTAAAAAAAGAACTTTTTTGTATTATACACTAAGCTCAAAAACGATTTTAAGACAGGTAAAAATATAATGCAAAAATGGGAAATATAAAGGCAAGTTTCTTAACCTTGAAGACTTTCTTTAAAGATGAAGCTCCAACAGCCCCTCCAAGCTTGAAACCACTCAAGAACCTCAAGAACAACCTCTTGGAACCTCAGTAGCCAAGGGAAGGTGTAATACTATGTGTTTGTGTGCAATAGTAAGACACAAATGCACCTAGACACACACAAGAGGGAAAAAGAGAGAGATAATGTGTATCAAACCCTAACCCTAGAACTCAAACCCTAAAATGGCTATCTAAAAATGTCTAAAGTGTCTCAAGTGTCCAACCCTTAAGCCAAGAGAGAAGACTCTCTCTTATAGAGCCTTTTGTCCTGTAAAGTTTACAAGACAAGCTTCTAAAGAGGGAGATCCCTCCATACACTACGGAGGGGAGCCAAATGCAAGACAGCTGTGATAAAATATCTACAAAAGCAGATGCACAGTAGTCGGCCGGCCAAAAATGCCATTTTGGCAAAAGGGAGTGCCGACCGGCAACAAATAGTGCCGACCGGCAATATACATTGCCGATGGCATCAAAAACCAGCCGGTGGCCTCTGGCCATGGCCGGTGGTGTGTGGGGATGCCTTACAAGGCATTCCCTGCCCTTCCAAGGCAAAACACAAGTGTTTGGTGCAAAACTAGACACTAAACAGTCAAGTTCGGAGATCCTGAGGCAAGGCGTGTAGCCAAGACCTCCGGGAACTCCAAACGGACACAAGCAAGGGTAATCACCAAGTGTTCCAATGGTGACGTCCAAGTCTTGAGGACGGTCAAAAATGGGGTGTCTACAGCTGATTCGCATTCGGCGGACCATTCAAAAGCCTTACCTTGCTGTAGTGTCTAAAAGAATTGTCGGCAGCGATCTGTAGACCGACTGATGAACCTGTTGAGTGCAGCGGCCATCCCTATCAACTTTTGGACTTCTTTTACTGAATGAGGGGAGTCTAGTTCCAAGATTGCTGTGACTTGCCTCGGGTTGGCGTCGATTCCTCGGTGATTGACAATGTAACCCAGGAATTTGCCAGAGCCGATTCCAAACGCATACTTGGAGTCGTTTAGTTTCATTCTGTATTTGCGTAAGATGCTGAATGTCTTTTCTAGATCGGCTATATGACTCTGTTCTTCTTTGGACTTGACCACCATATCGTCGATGTATACTTCCATAGTATGGCTGAGTTGCTCTTTGAACATGGCGGTGACCAATCTTTGGTAGGTTGCCCCTGCATTCTTCAGCGCAAAGGGCATGACTTTGTAGCAGTAGGTTCCTCTTGGGGTGAGGAAGGTAGTTTTGTCCTGGTCATCTGGATGCATGGTGATTTGATGGTAGCCTCTGTACGCATCGAGAAAGCTCATGCGTTGATGACGTGTCGTCGCATCGATGAGCTAGTCGATTCTAGGTAGAGGAAAATCGTCTTTGGGGCAAGCTTTGTTCAGATCCGTGAAGTCGACACACACTCGCCAAGCCCCATTTTTCTTCTTCACCACCACTGTATCGGAGAGCCACGTAGGGTAAGTGACTTCTCTAATTGCCTCGGCGTCAAGCAGTCTGTCTACCTCCTCAACAACGGCGGCAGTGTGCTCCGCGGCTGACCGTCGGCCTTTCTGAATGATCAGCTTACATTTTGGATCGACATTCAGATGGTGCTGTGAAACTGATGGGTCTATTCCCGACATTTCGTACGGATTCCACGCAAAGACGTCAAGGTTGTTGAGTAAGAAAGTGATCAGCTGCTGCTTGTAGGCCTGATTCAGAGAGGCGCCGATCATGAAGAACTTTTCTGGGTTGCCATCAATGTCAACTCGGTCTAAATCTTCTGTGGCCTTCTCATTTGGATACTGCCCAACATCGTCCAGGATCTCCCGATTTGGCACCTCGATGGAGTTTACTTGCAGTTCCTTTGGCGTTCTGGCAGCAAGGAGATAACATGCTTGTGCCGATTTTTGGGACCCGCGGATTTGCTCAATGCTATGTTCTGTTGGGAAACGTAGCAGTTGATGATAGGTGCTTGGGACGGCCTGCGAGGTATGCAACCACGATCGCCCCATGATGAGATTGTAGGGTGATGGTAGCCTGACGACCAAGAATTCCATGTCCACCGTTCTGGAGCCTGCTCGAACGGGTAAGCTGATCTTTCCCAATGGGTACTCTAGAGTGGCATTGAAGCCGAATAGTGGATAAGGAGACGGAGTCAGGTCTGACTCGTTGAATCCGAGTTTGGTGAAGGTTTTATAATACATAACCTCCGAGGTACTGCCTTGGTCGATAAGAACGTGTTCGACGGTGGACCAGTTTACGCGCAGCTCAACAACCAAGGGATCGATGTGAGGGAGTGTTACATCGATCAAATCAGAATCGTCAAAGGTGATACTCGGCGTTTCTGGGGGCCGCTTTGCTGGCGTGAGTTGCTGTTGTGGGCCTGGATGTAATTGGATCGCAAGCACGGCCGGGGCTGCTGGCAGGCTGTATATCATGTGGATGGTGTCAAGCGGAAATGCATCATTCGGACGGGCAGGTGTTTCGACCACACTCCTCCGAACGCATTGGTGGATACGTTCGTCTTTTACCAACTCCTCAAGATGATCTGTTGAAGCATGGCGGCCGTCAGTTTCTTGCTGTCAGGTCTGAGATCGTCGATCATCTGCCCTCGGAGGTCGCGCAGAAGCTTGGCGCACCGTTTGTTTGGATTTTGCTATTTCCGAGGCTAAATCGCGACGAAGGCGTTCGTTCTCAGCGATGATGTTGTCCAACCTCTGTTTGGTTTGCCTAGCTTGTGCCATGGTCGCTTGTATTGTCGTTTGGAGATGAGCAGAGGTCCGAGGCAAGTCTTGCTGCGATGGTTTTTGGTCCAAGCGAGTTCGCTGGAATGAGGTCACCTCTCTGTGTGGTCTCGTTAGTGGCTATCGGAGGATCTTCAGTCATGCCTGCCATAGATGTATTTGAGTATTCCCACAAACGGCGCCAATTGTGGAGAAGTAGTTCGGAAATACTCTTCGGATCTTGGGAGACGCTGGTGATCCTCAGCTAGTCACCTGAAAAGATACAAATGTGTCGGAATTAGTACTCCGACGGACAAGTTAATTCAGATACTCAGGGTAGCTTCTTTACTAAGTTTTGTCAAGTGATTTTTACATACATTTCTAAATCTATGGTTCTTGTATTTATACTTGCTTTTTGGGCCTCGGGGCTTGAGCCTACTTTTATCCCATTCTCCTTTTATTCATTCGGAGCCACTAACCTTCGTCTATTCGGCTTTCCTAACGTATTCGGCGTCCTAGTCACGCAACATGAAGCCGTATAGTATCTAATTTCTGGAGTACGCATCTTCCGACTCTTCTACTTATTCGGCTCCCACAGTAGCAAATGCCCGCTTGACAATGCACTTGACATGATGTAAAAAATTAATCACGTAGGTGATGGTAACAAAAGGTTTTTTGGTACAATAAAAATCAGCTTATACCGATTTTCTAATATGAACTAAAAAAATTTAGGAGTACATCCTAACAAAAACCAAGTAGGGGGTACGCAGGTACGAACAATACAAGTTGTTGTTGTTACTGGTCTCACAAATGATTTGAAGTTTCAAACTGAAAGAGCCATTATAAAGTACATTAACGAAAATAATCATTTCATATTTTTCTGTTATATTGTTGTACATGTGCAGGCAACTACTACTTGGTCGATAGCGGGTACAACAACAAGACAGGATATCTAGCACCGTACAAAGGGGTATTGATATCACCAAAATGCCTATCACAACCGAACACCACAAAATGAGTTCGAACGGTTCAACAAGGCACATTCTTCCTTGCATAGTTTTATCGAGTGGACATTTAGTGCTTGGAAGTCGAGGTGGAGGGCTTTGCGAAATATGCCAAAGATAAAATTTTCTGATCAAGTGACACTCGTATGTGTATTGATGGCTTTACAAAACTTCATACGGCGAAATAGTCAAGCTGACTCGATCGCGCAAGAAATCTCAGATGACGACGAGTACGTTGCGCTGTAAATGCCCGACCATCCAGAATACACCCAGGTTGGCGATATCATGGAGCCAGGGACTTAGATCCCTACATAGCAGCTGTAAAGAGCGAATATTACATACGCACTGTGACAACAAGGCCACGTTTAAGGCCGACGCATTTGTTATTGTGGCAGCTCTTATATTCGCTGTCTGCTGTGTAACACTGATGTATGTAGTTCAAAGTGATTATATTATCATATCATTGCAATGAAATATTTTGTTGTACCAAATGTGCAACAACTTAAAACAATATTGCCATAAGTAACACATTACATTTCGTACCTAATAAAAAAAAAAATTAGAGTGAATAAAAAAAAAACAATATTGCCATAATCAATATAATGAAAAAACAAAAAAGGCTTACAATGGTGGTGTTTGGGAAGCAAGTTCCCAAATTTTTTTCTCATTTTTTCCACTAAAAGACAAAAGTTTTGCAAAACCAAAAAAAACACATCCAAACAAAATATCACATCTAACCCCATAATCATTTCACTTTTTCTCTCACAAACATCACATCCAACCACATAAAAACCCAACTATCTTCCCAAACACCAAAAATTTTTTATCTCATAAAAACCTACATCTACTCAAATCTACATAAAAACTCACTTCCCAAACACCATCAATAACTAATTCAGTAATAGTTTTTTTTGTTAAATTATGTGACATTATTAAAAGAATTACAATTTTTTCTTTTTAAATATACTACTTGCACAGGGGTTGAACATTATAAAAAACGAAACAGAAAAAAAAAAAAAAAATTTAAACAAATAAAATAAAATAGTACATATTTGTGTTCTTCGGGACATATACAAGCAAAACATAAAAAAGAATAAAAACAAATATATACACACAATAGTACATACATATGTTGTACTGGCCTTCACGTGAGGCGCAGTACGTCCGAATTGTGGAGTAGGGATATTATGGTCAATTGCATAATTCTTATATTATTATAATATATATATATTTTTTATAAAAAGTCAAAAAAATTATCTTAAATACTCATTTTTTTCTTATTTTTTTAATCAAAAAATTAAAAAATACAGTTATATATATCATCTAAAAAAAACTCATAAATAAATAATTTAGCCTCCGTTTGGAAAGAGACTTTTTGGATTTTTTTAACTAAAATAGTTACAAAAAATAAAATAAATTTTTTAATTCAATAAGATAAAACATCACAACTAACCTATAATCATTACATTCTTTCTTTTATAAAAAAAATAAAAAAAATCAAAAAAATTAAAAATCGTTCGCAAACTAGGGCCTCGTTTGGAAAGTGGCTATTTTAGTAAGCTATTTGACTTTTTGGTTATTTTAGTAGGCTATTTTAGTTTTGTGTTTGGGAAGATGAGATAAATTTTTAGTTGAGTTGTTGTATTGAAAAGTGTGTTGAAATGATGTTTAAATTTAAAATGACAGATTTATTCCTAATTTTTTATTTTTAAAATTGATATAAAGGGGCAAAATGGTAATTTCGCCCTTGCTGTAACACTGTCCAGCTGTGCCTACACTGTCTGGGCAACCGCCTATTTTTTTTTTTTTTTTTTTTGAAAATCAATAAAAAGGTGCTACAGTTTTGACTTTTGAACTAATTTTCTAAAAGAGGCTAATAGCCTCAACCTCTGATTGCCAAACACTCCCTAGATTTTTTAAGCTCAGATTAAAATAATGAGAAAAACCAAAAATTCACTTACATGATCATGCGGTCAAGACCAACCAGTAAATTTTCCGTGTGTTCCGCAATGTAAATATTTAGAATAATGCTTGGACCCTTTTGGGGTCACTCTTCACCCTTTTACCACGTGATGGGTGGTGATTGGAGGAGTAGGAAAAAAAAGAAAAAAAAAAAAAAGGTAACCAATAAGAGAGAGGGGGTCAAAGGGGGTGTGGGAGAAAAGGGGATGAATCATTGTTGAAATATTTTTTTTTTCATGGTCTAGGAGCAGAAAGTTTCAGATCAGGGGAATCTAACTGTTAAGCAATTGTAGACCATCTTCTGGCATCTGCAGAGAGGTCTGTCTATCAAGAAACTGTCCATTTTTTTTTGGATTGTTCGATTTCTGATCTTTTCATCTTCAATTGCTTGCCTTGAGGTTATAAGTATAAGTGGCGGCTGCTTTCAACACGAAGTTGTTGTATAAATAAAAGGAAAGAAGAGGGAGGGAAGGAATTTGTTGCTGGAACTTGTATAAAAGATCTGAAATGGCAGCTGATTATTTACAGTTCCTGAAGAACAAATTCATCAGTGACTATGAAGAAGCAGTGGCAGAATACAATGATTTTCCCTTCCGTTCTCGTTTTCATGAGATTTTAGAGGAGTTGCAGGAAATGAGGATCAGCTCCTCAACACCCATAAGAATGAAAAATTTGCTGTACGATCTCAAGTTTGTATTGGCTGAGTGCGTCATGTTAGCAGGCAAGGAGAAGGAACGCATTACCCAGACCAGCAAAAGTCTCGTAGGTTATCAGTATGTGAAGAAGAAATGGATTCTGTTCTTAACTAAGAGGAAACTGCTCTCCATCAAAGAAAAATTGCTGGACTACTTGCATGCTGTCAGCGGTGATGTTGCAGCTGAGACTGAGAGGCATGTGTCCTTGAGCTTGGTTAGGGTTCGTCAACAAGGGGACTTTCCAGATTTCGACGAGACTCTGATTCATGGGTTCGAACACCATTTTGAAAAGATCAAAGATTTGCTCCTCAAGACACCTGATACTGATAGTATCAGCACGATTGGCATTGTAGGGATGGGCGGTTCAGGTAAAACTACTCTTGCCCAAATGGTGTTCAATAGCCCTCAAGTCCAAGGCAGTTTCTCCCCAATTTTATGGGTTGAATTACCTCAATCTCTGATTAAACCCCACTTAATTGTTTTCGCCCTTCTCAAAAGCTTGGCAAGTGATTTTTCTTGGTGTGGCAGTGCTTTTGATCTCAATGAGCTTTTGCACAACCTGCACTGTTATTTGCTTAACAAGAAGTATTTGATTGTAATGGACAATGTGTGGCATGCGAGTGATTGGTACTTTGATTTGGATTCTAACTCCAAGCTGCAGATGGAAGGCAACGAAAACTACACTCATCTCTCACATGGCTTGCCAAGGGGAAGTGGGGGTGCCATCATCGTCACTAGTAGACTCAAGGAAGTGGCAAGTAAGATGGTCGGTAAGCGGAATTTGTATCCCCTCGAGCCCACATTGGACACAGAGTCATGTTGGTCCATAGTTCTAGATTCAATTGAAAAGGAGATTTCAGATCACTGGATATTAGAAAAAATTAAAGATGACACGGTAGACAGGTGTGGTGGTCTTCCATTAGCTGCAAAGACCTTGGCGGACATAATTTCACATCAGTAAAGTTTCTTACCTAAATATACCTTTTATTTATTTAAATTTTTGTCTATCTTGGTTATGCCCGGAAATCTTTTAGTAGGTTAACAATTCAGTGCAAAATCAATTATCAAATTCCAATCTTAGAATTATAATTTATGATTTCAATCTATATGTTGTATGTCTTTGCTCCATATGTTCTTTTTTTGACCTTGTCTTTGCTCCATATGTGAGTACTTAAATTAAATCTCTCTCTCTTTCTCTCTCTAACATACTGTGGTTACATTGCCAGGTTTTTGACAGATCCAAGTGCAATTAAGGTTTGATTCCCTCACTTCCTTCTATATTGATTAGCTTCCTTTCCAAATTTAAATCCTTTTTCTGGGTTCTGAACATACATGTTGTTTCATCAGGGCCCTGGGTTGCCATTTCCATTGTCTCATTGGATTGGAATTTAAAAGTTTGGCCAATTCTAACTTATACCTTAGGTTGTTTTTGTTAGAACAACTAAAATAAAATTTCAGAATACTGGATAAACAGTTCTAGATTGAATAGTACATATACAACAAACATCATATAACCAAAGCTATAAAATAGTTAGCATGAAGTTTTGGAACAAATAATTATATTGCCGTAATTTGACGTGTGATCGATTGACAGGTATGTAGTCACTGTCTTAAAGTTGTTGTTCCTGTTGCTTTGAAGGTTCAAATAAAGTGCAACAGCTTCAAGATTCAACACAGTTTGCTCATAGCCTTCCTTGTCTAATGTTTATGTCCACCAAAAGGATATGAACAAGTCACGAACCAAAATTACCCTTAAAACATGGAAAGTAGATGAGAAACTCTGTATATGATTATATTTTGTGTCTTCCTAACTTCTTCTGTTTACGTCTGCATCTCTTCCGACATAGAAGAACATGCAGACATGTATATATTAGGGTTTTTAAACTAAAAGTCACTAATAAATATTGTAATGGTAAAATATTTAAATGATTAAAAAATTAAATGTGGCTGAATTACTCTTGTTACAATGCTTGAAACTGAAGGGAAAATAAATAGAGGTAATAACTGAATTAATATAGCCAACTAATTTGTTTTAAACCTAATTTGTAACAGCCCAACAGAATTTTGTCTTTTTATTCAAAATTGCCAACATTTTTCTATTTGTTCTGCCAGAAATTTCACTTGGAATTCGAAAAATCTGTTGCACCTACCTCAGAGGTCCTAAAGGAAATTAGGTCCTATCCAGGTATCAATGCTAACCTTTTTTCTTTTGTCTTTCTTGAAATTGCAATTCAATTTTCAACTGCTTTTCATATGAAGGTGCTAGTCCCACTGAACTTTCATCCGTGTTTGACTGTGCAGAAGTTTATTATGCCAAAGTTGCCAGTGATCACAACAACAAAGTAGAAGCAGGAGGAAATTGCAATCCTCAAGACGTAGTGGAAGCCTTGAGCAAATTTTCCCTAGGAAAGATCACTGTAATCGATGGAATTGAGCCATTGCAGAAACAGTGATCGAAGAAGAAAGTTATGGAGCCTATGGAAAAGGAATCAGGGGAAGAACAAACCATGGATTTAAAAGAAGAAGATAGAACTAAATCAGCTGTTTTTTTTAAGGCCTTAGAGGTGTTGAAGAGAAACTGATAGCACATTATCTTCTTCTTCATGATATATTTCTTGGTCATTGCCAACTGACCTTAGAGCATCTCATGTGTTTAATGTCAAAATAAAAGTCAAAAGTCAAATTATATTAGATGTTATTATTTGACAATTCTATTATAATAGTGCAAATATTTTTGTTTTTATTTTTTATTTTTTATTTTTATTGTAAAATGTCAAATGAAAATGCTTTTTTGTTTTTGTTATACCTTTTTTCTAAACACTTACAGCGGAGGTTGTTTTCAAGTCAACAAGAAAAATCCATGAGTAATAAGGCTTAGTCTAACACCACTTCCAGAAGTTGGCCTTTTTTTCAGGTTAATGGAAATCAAGTGTTGGGAAATTGTAGAACATCTCCTGGCATCTGTGCAAAGAGATCTATCAGGAAACTATTTAGTATTTCATAGAAAATTTCTTTGAATCTTCCAGGAAACTACTCAGTCTTTCAAAGGTATTTTCTTTGATTCTTTCCATTTCTCTGTTTGTTTTGTCTTCTATTGCTTGACTTGAGACTAATTGCAGCTGCTGTTAACAGAAAGGTTTTTTTACAGTTTCTGAAGATCAAATTCATCAATGACTTTGAAGAAGCAGAGGGGGAAGAATTCATGGAATCCCCCCTACGGCTTCATTTTGTTGAGATTTCAGAGGTCTTGCATCAAAAGAGGATTGACCCCTGGACACCCATAGGACTGAAAGATCCTCTGTATGACCTCAAGTTCGCATTGGCTGATTGTGTCATGTTAGCAGGGAAGGAGAGAGACCGCATTACCAAAAACAAGAAAAGTCTCTTATTAAGCTCTCATCATTATGTCAAGAAGCAATGGTTTCTTTTCAAGATGAAGAGGAAACTTCTTTGCATCAAAAACGAGTTGCTACAAAACATGAGCGATGTTGACGTTGCAGACATTGCAGATGAGAGGCTTTCGTCCTCGAGCTTGATCAGGGTTTGTCAACCAACAGACTTTCCAGATTTCAATCTCACTCTGATTCACGGTTTCAATAATCATTTGCGGAAGATGGAAGCTTTGCTCCTAGCTACTACATCTGATACTGATAATTTCAGTGCAATTGGTATCGTAGGGATGGGAGGATCAGGTAAAACTACTCTTGCTCAAATGGTGTTCCATAGCTCTAGAGTCCAAGAAAGCTTCTCCCCAATGTTATGGGTTGAGTTACCTCAATATCCAGATCTAAGATCCATTGTCTTGGCTATTCTTGAATGCTTGGCAAGTGATTTCTCTTAATTTGGCAACACTTCTGATCTTGATGATCTTTTGTGTAATTTGGACATTTACTTGTTTAATAAGAAGTATTTGATCGTGTTGGACAACATGTGGCCTGCTTTGAGTGATGATTTGGATTTCAACATGTACGTAACTCCACTCTGGAATGGATTTCCGAGGGGAAGTGGGGGTGCCATCATCGTCACTAGTAGACTGAAAGAAGTGGCAAGTGATATGGTGGGTGAGCTCAACTTGTATGAACTTGAGCCCATATTGGACAGAGAGTTGTGTTGGCGCATAATTCTAGATTCAATTAGAAAGTAGTATTTGTATCACCAGATATTACGAAAAATGAAGGATGACATGGTAGATAGGTGTGGTGGTCTTCCATTAGCTGCAAAGACCTTAGCTGAGATAATTTCAACCGAGTAAATTTTCTAACTCAAATCTAGCCATTTTAATTTTTGTCTTTCTTGGTTATGCCTTGAAATCTTCTACTAGGTTAATGATTCACTGCAACATCAAATTCCATCTAGAATTATAGGGTTATGGTTTCGATCCATGTGATGAATGTCTTTTCTCCATGTCAATACTTGCCTGTTTGGTTGGGTTTTTGTTTTCTTTTTTAGAAAACCCAAACGGTGAATTGTTTCTGAAAACAACCCCCTATTTAGGATACTCCAAAAAGTTGTTTTCAAATTTTTGAAAACTATTTTCGGGAAGGAAAAAAAAATTGAAAATGATATGTGAACTATGAGTTTATTTGAACTTTTCATTGTTTTGTTTCCAAAAATATGAAAAACGGAAAACAAAAACACAACCAAACTGCCTTACTCTCTCTCTAACATACTACTGTTACATGCTCAGGTTTTTGAAAGATCCGACTGCAATTAAGGTCTGGTTCCCTCACTTTCTTCAACATTCAGTTTCATTTCTACATTTAAATCCTTTTGGTGGGTTCTGAACATCCATGTTGTTTAATTAGTTTTTAATTTACGATTTCATTTCCCCATTGTCTCTACCACAATTGGAATTTAAAAGCTTGGCCAATTCTAACTTACAGTTGAGGTTGTTTTCAATTTGTTCTTGCAGATGTTTCGCTTGGTATTCAATAAACCTGTTGCACCCACCTCAAAGCTCCTGAAGAAACTTAGGACCTATTCAGGTATATCGAGGCTAACATTCTTCTTTTTCTTTTCTTTATCTTTCTTTGAAAAACTTCTTTTCATATGAAAAAACTAGTCTCACTGAAGCATTTATGATGTGGCACAAAAAGAACAGAATAAGAAGTTGGAGGAAGAAACTGGGGAATCACAATCTGAAATCAATATCTTAATAATCAATACTCAAATCATATCATAGTCTAGTTGATAAACGATTACATAAATAAAATTTTATTTAAACCATTATTCTTAATTATACCAAAAATCTTTTATTCTTCAATTTATTGTCATCCAACACTTTCGTTCTGTGACTCTGTAGGAGTTTATTATGCTGAATTTGTCTCTGATCACAACAATGAAGTAGAAGCAGGAGGAAGTTGTGATCCTGAAATAGTAGTGGAAGACTTGAAGAAACTTTTCCAAGCAGAGATCACTCTAAAGATAGATAAGAATAATACAAACAAGAATCGAAGAAGAAAGAAAGCCTACAGAAAAAGAATTTGGTGAAGAGCAACCCATGGATTTAAGAAGAAGAAGACAACTAAATCATCTCCCTAGATTTTTTGAAGTGAATCCAAGTGCACAGGTATTAGTTCCTCTCTGTTATCTGTTTTTCAAGTTTGAAATGTGAAAAAATGATGGTTTGTTCTTCTTGATCCACGATCTCAAGTGTCAATTGCAAAGCCATGTATGCTAAGCAGGGGTGTAGACGGTTTGCTTTGATTGGCGTTGAGAGAAAATTTTGCGCCGAATTGAATCCTTCATTTTGTTAGTTGAGGAACCAAAACCGATCGCATACTATTGTTTAGTTTTATCAGTTTAGTGTAAATGATGGATTTAATAGGTGAATTTAAAAGTGTTACAAAATTCTATAAAATGTCAGTGACTGTATAATTTTAATTGGGATTGATACACTTTCTGGTTATGGGACTCATAGTTGTGGACCAATCAGATTATATGTTTTGTTCTGATACTTTCACACACTTTAGGAGTCCTTTTCATTTAATGTCAATTAGTTTTGAATTGGAAGTGTCTAAATATTTTGACATGATATGAAATTGTAATACAATTCTTATCACTCTTGTTGAATAAAGAACGAAGCCCAAGTTGAATTTTGAGCCCGCCAATGGCTTGGGCTGGACCTTGTGGAAGAAATATGGAAAATTATCCGTGGGTCCTGTTTGAAATATATGTACATTATTTAATCCAATAATTTTTTGAGTAGACCCAAATGTTTTACACTTTTCCTCTCTCTCTCTCTCTCTCTCTTTTCCTCACCTCTTTGTCATGTCTGACGATCGGTAATCGCACATTCCTTATTCTCTTTCTCTTTCTAATATATAGCCCCTGTTTGGTAGGGTTCATTTCTATCTTATTTCAGCTTTCAGCTTAATTTAAGCTATTTTGATGTGTTTGATTCAGATTAACAATATAACTATAGCTTTTTGTAAGTTAAAAATCAACTTGTTCTTTGAGTGGGGGAGGAGAAGCTTAATTTATAAGTAAAAAATCAGCTTATGTTCACAGCTATAAACTATAAGCTGTTAGGCTATAAGTTATAATCACTTTCTCACAGCTCTACCAAACGGGGCCATAGTCACCAGTGATTGAAGATCACCATTGATTGGGGTTCCCTAGCAACCACCAACCACCGACATGAACTCGTTACTTCATCCTCACCGATGGCGAAGAAGATGAGTAGATATACTCAAATCTGATGTAGATTTACTCAGATCTACATGAGATCTGAGTAGATCTACATGAGATCTGACTAGATCTAAACAAAAAATAGTTGCCGGAGTATAATATTCTTTCTATATCTATTCTTTCTTTCGATTTCTCAATTTTTCTACTTTTTCTCAGGTACACACGCCTATTTTTCTGTTTTAATTGAGAAAAATGTCAAGTTCTGAATATGTTGTTTTTAAGTTTTAGTTATAGGCGGTGAAAATTGTAAATTTTTACAGTTTTAGCTTTTTTTGGTGATGAAATGCATCATGCTTTAAAACAGTTTCGTAACATTCTTTAGAACTGTAAAATTTTACAGTTTCATAACATGTTTTCTAGCTTAATAGAATAATGCTTTGAAACTGTAACATTTTACAGTTTCAATGCTTACTTTTCAATTTGATCAATATTATAGATTATTTGCTTAGTTGTTTGTTGTTGTTATGTTTTTTAACTATAATTTCTCCATTTATTTCCTTTTTTTTTTTCGGGACAATATTCTGAATATTCCGATGAGTCTTCGATGTTGTTCTTGACATTTTCCAATGACGTTCAAAACACTCCGGTGAACTTCTGGTGATGCTCAAAACACTTCGGTAAGGATAAAGGAGCCCAGATACCCAGATACCAGATAATTTTGAAAACCAAGAAGCCCAGATACCGAGCAACAATATCAACTAGAATAAAGGAACAGTCGGTAAGGATAGTTCGGTTTCAATCTTCTCTGTTATCTTAACACCTACCACGCTAACCCTTGTGAGTTTGTCCATTTTTTCAGATTTGAACTAGCATAAAACAAATTACGCCTATGCAAGTCAAGCCGCGCTTCGGTATCGACATCGAGATTGGGTCGAACTGCTTGACGTTCAGCCGACCTACCGATATAGTGGTAGGAAAAAGACCAAAGTAACCGACTTTCTTTTGGAGTCCTCTGTAGAGACAAACCCTAGCCTTTTCCAAGTTAACCTAGTCCCACCAACCAAAGAACAAGAGATGGCCAAGATGAGAGCAGTTCGAGCTCTGATCATTGAGTAGGTATCCTCTTCAAATGTTGAGGTCCAGATTAAGTAATCTCCCACCGGCCAGACTGTAGAGACCGTTGTTGCCTTGCCTGCTACCCGGGCTACCTCATTCCAGCCTAGCAAGAGGCCACGCACCTTGGCATCTCCACCACAATGGCTGGTAGATGAGGAAGAGGTCGAGCTGCCAATGACCCAGTCTTTTCAAGGGGGGTCGTCACTCGGGCTGTGCTAGTTCCTCTTCGCCTCCGGTGTGGGCTTCAACCATGACTTACAAAGGCTGTATTGTGATCACAACCGACTCGATTGCCGCCGAAAAAGACCACTTGCTAGCCTTTGGTCTATCCAAAAGCCTGTGCCTTCTAGCCGATATGGAAAAGCACGATCACTTGACCGAGCTGAAGGCAATTCGGTCCGCCACTAAGTCGATGGTCTTGGTAAAGTCTGAAATTTCAATATAACTGTTACTCTTACAATCTCTTGGTGTGGTTTTAACTTACCACTTCATATGCTGTGCAGGCTATTTAGAAAAATCACATTACCTACTAACGTGTTATTGAATTACAAAAAACGGCTAAGGCAGCCATTGCCTGGTGAAAGTGAAAGATGCCGAGATAGAGGCCCTGAAGGCATCTCTGACCGAGCTGAGTGCCGAGAAGGAAAAGCTAACCGAGCAGGTCAGTGCGGCTAAGTCAGAGAAACAAAAAGTGCTGGCCAAGAAAAAGAACCAGTATTTGCGCGAACTTGCTAAACTAGAGAAGAACAAGGAACTGCAGAAGAATATGGAAGACACTGAGGACCAAGGTTTCAAGGAGGGTGAAAAAACCTATGTCCATTAATGTGAAGCGGCCAAAGACATCTTCTTTAAGTGCGGTTGGAAGCCTGCGGTTGAAAAGCTCGGTCAGGCTCATGACTCCGAAGTATTTATGAATCCTCCTCCTCACTTCATATTGAGCTATATGACGGACTACGCAAATGCCGTCCATCAGAAGTTCCTGCAAGAAGAGGAGGAGATTCTAGATCCAATTGATGCTCTTTCCGTGAACACTGACCTCGGTCTCCAGACTTCATTGCCCACTCGAGTGGATCTGCTTAGCCAAACCGTGGCGAGCCTGATCGACGGAGCGGATGTGACCGATCTAACACAAGAAGGTGAGGACGGGGCTGGACTGCCAAGTGGTGAAGTCCATAGTGGTATGGATACTGAGTTTGATGATATTTTTGCCTGACTAGGATGGAACTTTGTATTTTGTTGATGTTTGTTTTTCTTTTTGTTCCTTTTCCTTGCTCTGTAACCAGGCTATACGCCCCACCTTTTGTAAGCACCTTCTATCCAATGAAATTTTTTGATCTTTTCACTCAGTCACTTTGTTTCTTCATTGTTGTGTGTTATTCTGACTGCATGCCTAGCTGAACTAATTGGCTCGACCTTACCTTATCCTGCCAACCTATTTTGGCCGAGATCATTATCTTTGCCCTAAAGTGCCAAAAGGTTGTGTTAGCCCATCTGGCCAACCTCCTTTGGCCAGGATACTCATATCGGTCAAAGGTACAAAAAGTTGTCCCGGTCAAACTTGCCAATCTTCTTTAGCCTAGATACTTATCTTGACTAAAGAGTGCAAAAAGTGTTGGTCAAATCTGCCAAACCTGCTTTAGCCTAGATCCTTATCTCGGCTAAAGAGTGTAAAAAGTTTTCGTTGGTCAAACCTGCCAACCTTCTTTAGCTTAGATCCTTATCTCAGTTAAAGAGTGCAAAAAGTTGTGTTAGTCAAACCTGCCAACCTTCTTCAACTTAGATCCTTATCTCGGATAAAGAGTGCAAAAAGTTCTATTGGTCAAACCTGCCAACCTTTTTCAGCCTAGATCTTTATCTCGGCTAAAGAGTGCAAAAAGTTGTATTGGTCAAACCTGCCAACCTACTTCAGCCTAAATCCTTATCTCAGCTAAAGAGTGCAAAAAGTCTTGGTCAAACTTGTCAACCTACACTGCCCCCCAGTTGGGTAATGAGTACAAACAATTTTACAAGCAGAGGAATACAAGTACTGAAATAAATTGTACTGAAAAAATGTCTACTTGTTTTATTGAATGTCAAAGGAGATTATAAGTCTTTTAAAAGCTAAAAATAAAGTACTTTGAGATTTGCGGCGTTCTAAGGCCTTGGGATAGCTTGACCGTCCACATCATGCACATTTTCTTACCAGACCAATCACTCTGTATGGTCTCTCTCAGTTGGGTCCCTATTTGCCATCTCCAGGCACCAGAGTGTTTCCCATTACTTTGTGCAGCACCTAATCTCTAATCTTGAATTGCCTTGGATGGACCGCTTTGTTGTATTTTCTGGACAGCTTCGGCTGATACGAGGCGATGTGTACTAGTGCCATTTTTCTTCTTTTGTCGGCAAGACCTAGCTCCAAGGCTATGGCCTCCTTGTTCAGGTTCAGATCAAAATTTTCACTTTAAATAATGGAGAGGCCAACCTCTAGGGGGATTACTGCTTCCATGCCATAGGTCAAGGAAAAAGGCATTTTGCTGGTCGACCACCAAGGTGTAGTTCGGTAGGTCCACAAGATGTGGGGAAGTTCTTCTGCCCATTTGCCTTTTGCTTTTTCCAGCCTCTTTTTTAGACCATCTAAGAGTACTTTGTTGGAGGCTTCAACCTGACCATTAGCTTGAGGGCACGCCGACGTGGAGTTGTAAAATTCTATATTGTGTTATTTGCAAAAACCCTTAAAGATTTTTCCATCAAATTGGGTGCTGTTGTCAGATATCAAGACTTTGGGAATGTCGAACTGAGTTATGATGTTCTGCCAGATAAACTTCATGACATCTTTCTCCTTAATGGAGGAGAGTGCCTCTGCTTTCACCCACTTACTGAAGTAGTCTGTTGCAAAAAGTTGTATTGGTCAAACCTGCCAACCTACTTCAGCCTAAATCCTTATCTCAGCTAAAGAGTGCAAAAAGTCTTGGTCAAACTTGTCAACCTACACTGCCCCCCAGTTGGGTAATGAGTACAAACAATTTTACAAGCAGAGGAATACAAGTACTGAAATAAATTGTACTGAAAAAATGTCTACTTGTTTTATTGAATGTCAAAGGAGATTATAAGTCTTTTAAAAGCTAAAAATAAAGTACTTTGAGATTTGCGGCGTTCTAAGGCCTTGGGATAGCTTGACCGTCCACATCATGCACATTTTCTTACCAGACCAATCACTCTGTATGGTCTCTCTCAGTTGGGTCCCTATTTGCCATCTCCAGGCACCAGAGTGTTTCCCATTACTTTGTGCAGCACCTAATCTCTAATCTTGAATTGCCTTGGATGGATTGCTTTGTTGTATTTTCTGGACAGCTCCGGTTGATACGAGGCGATGTGTACTAGTGCCATTTTTCTTTTTTCGCCGGCAAGACCTAGCTCCAAGGCTATGGCCTCCTTGTTCAGGTTTGGATCAAAATTTTCACTTCAAATAATGGAGAGGCCAACCTCCAGGGGGATTACTGCTTCTATGCCATAGGTCAAGGAAAAAGGCATTTTGCTGGTCGACCACCAAGGTGTAGTTCGGTAGGTCCACAAGACGTGGGGAAGTTCTTCTGCCCATTTACCTTTTGCTTTTTTCAACCTCTTTTTTAGACCATCTAAGACTACTTTGTTGGAGGCTTCAACCTGACCATTAGCTTGAGGGTACGCCGACGTGGAGTTGTAAAATTCTATATTGTGCTATTTGCAAAAACACTTAAAGATTTTTTCATCAAACTGGGTGCTGTTGTCAGATATCAAGACTTTGGGAATGTCGAACTGAGTTATGATGTTTTTCCAGACAAACTTCTTGACGTCTTTCTCCTCAATGGAGGAGAGTGCCTCTGTTTCCACCCACTTGCTGAAGTAGTCTGTTGCCGCAATAAAGAACTTTTTGTTGCCCGGCGTGGTTGGGAGTGGTCCTACTATGTCTAAGCCCCACATTGTAAAAGGCCAAGGATTGGTTAAAGGTAGGAGCTCTCTTGCTGGTTGATGGATTTGATGCTTGAACTTTTGATGTTTCTCGTATTTTTTGACGTACTTCACAACGTTTGCTTGCATGTATGGACACCTGTACCCTTGTGAAATAGCTCGGTAGGCCAGCGATCTCCCCCCTTGGTGGCTTCCGTAAATGCTTTCGTGAATTTCAAACAAGAATGCCTCAACCTTGCTAGGATGGACACACTTCAAGTGTAGTCCCGTGAAGGACTTTTTGTACAACGCTAGTGATGGGGAGACTCAAAATCGCTGTGACTTTGCTCTAACTTTGTTGGCCTCCTTCTTGTCCTTTGGCAAAATGCCATCTTTTAAGAACACCACTATGGGTTTATCCATGAGGGACCTTGCTCGGCACAACATACTTCGGCCACTTCAATGCTTGGTCTTAGCAAGTAGTTCATTAGCAATGGGTGCGGGATAGCCGTGTCTACCATCGAAGCGAAATCGGCTAGTTCATTTGCCTTACTATTTTTTTCTTGGTTGATTTCCTCTATCTTTACCACTTTAAACTTCATGATCTCCTTTTTGACCAACTCTTGATACTTGGCCATTCTATCGTCATTTGTTTCATAGTTGCCTGAGATTTGGTTGAATACTAGTTGGGAGTCACTATACACCATCAACACAGTGGTTTCCATGTGGAATGCTGACTTCAAACCGGCTAATAAAGCTTTATACTTAACCTCGTTATTGGATGCTGGAAATCCAAGGTTGATTGCCTGTTCAATGGTCAAGCCATCTAGCGAGATAAAGACTATGCCAAGTCCTGCACCGTGCCTGTTGGACGCTCTATCCATAAAGAGCTTCCATAGCTCTCCTACGAATAGCTTCCAGTAAGTGGAGGGATCTGATAATGCCTTAGGATCAGGGGTGTTGACGATGTCTTCTAAGTTGTTATCTGTCGTTAAGAGTTGATCCTTACTGCAAGACTGTCTTAGGACTATTCTTTTAGGTGAGTTCTTGTTTGTAGTAGTGCAGCCTGTTCCTTCTTTATTTTCTGCACAGTTGAATGGTTCGTTGTGCAGTTGAGTGACTTGTTGCGGGGGTTATGCTATCCCTGTGACACTTTCCCCCATTTGCTCGTTTGCCTCAGTCAAGTCGACCGGGCAAGCATGATGACTTCCTGCAGCAAATTCGGCAACGAAGTCTGTCAATGCTTGAGCCTTTATTGCGGTTCTTGGTTGAAACTTGATGTCGAACTGTCTTAACTCCATAGCCTACTTCAAAATTCTCCTAAAAAAGTTCGCCCTCTCAAAAAAGGCTTTTAAGGGGAAGATTGTTAGGATGATTACTGTGTGGGCATGGAAGTAGTGTGACGATTTTTTCTTGAAGCCATCATCAAGGCTAAGGCCAACTTCTCCAACGACAGGTACCTCATTTCGGTGCCCAACAATGTCTTGCTAACATAAAAGATAGGCAGGTGTTGTATTCCCTCGGCTCGTACCAGCACTGCGCTAACTGCATGCTGGGAAACTGCTAAGTACAGCAAAAGTTTCTCTCCTGGTACTGGGGTGTCAAAAATGGCGGAGAGGTCATGTATTCTTTCAAGCTTTGTAGTGCGTGGTCGCACTCGTCATCCCACTCAAACTTGGCCTTCAGTGCTTGGAAGAATGGTTAACATCTATCTGATGACAAACTTATGAATCGTTTTAGCGCGACAGTTAGGCTTGTGAGATGTTGTACTTTCTTGACTGTGTTGGGCCTCTCGAGATCTTAAATCACTTTGATCTAAGATGGGCCGGCTTTTATACATCGGTTGGTCACTAGAATGCTAAGAAATTTACTTGACCTCGCGTTGAATATGCATTTGGATGCGTTCAGTCGCAGATTGTGGGCCTTGAAAATGTGAAACATCTCAACTAGGTCATTGAGATGGTCGCCTTCCTTTTTTCTCTTGACCACCATGTCATCTATGTAAGCTTCCGTTGTTCTGCCCAACAATGGCTCAAACATTTTGGTGATCATTCCTTGGAACGTTGCCCCTACATTTTTTAGGCCAAAGGGCATGACCTTGTAACAATACAATCCCCTAGGTGTTGTAAAGGATGTAACCTCCTAGTCCGCTTCATACATAGCGATTTGATGGTATCCACGATATGCATCAAGAAAGCTAAGTCGATTGTGACCTACAATAAGGTCTACCAATTGGTCTATCCGTGGTAAGGGAAAGCTGTCTTTTGGGCATGCTTTGTTGGCTGTATTGTAGTCCACACATACGTTCCACTTGTCATTCTTCTTTGGCACTACCACGGTGTTAGAGATCTACTTGGGATAGTGAACCTCTTTGATTGCCCCTGTTTCCAGCAGGTTTCCCACTTCCTTAGCCACTATCTCGGCGTGGTGAAGTGCCGATCGGCACGTTCCCTGTATAATTGGTCTAGTGGTTGGGTGGACATTAAGTTGATGGCAGATGAAAGTTGGATCAATGCTTGGTATATCATACGGTGTCCAGGAAAATACCTCGATGTTAGAGATCAAGAACTCCATGATCTCTATTCTCTCGGTGCTGGACAGAGACAAGCCAAGCAAAAAGAACTTCTCTGGGTTTTTCTCGTCTATCTTCACCTTCACTAGATCTTCCACTACATTCTGTTCGGTTGCCTTGTCGACGTCTGTGAACAACTCATTGCTTTCTAGCTTCTTTATCATTTGTATGAATCTTTTGGCAGCTCGGCTGCCGTTTACTGTCACAAAGTATTGCTTGGACATGATGTGGTCTCTTAAGACTTCTTTAATCATTCCAGCTTCGTTAGGGAACCGCATCACTTGATGGTAGGTTGATACCACCACTCATATGGTGAGTAACTATGCTCTTCCCAAGATTACGTTGTAAGTGGAAGGGACTTTCAACACCCAAAATTCTACTTGTTTTGTCATCGTTCTAGCTTTAACTGGTAGAATTATCTTGCCAACTGGCCATTCCGGCATTAAGGTGAAGCCGACTAAGGGAGATGTAGCGAGTGCTAATCTTTGTCTTCTGACTTGAGTTTCTTGATGTCTCATAATACATTATCTTGCACGAGCTTCCTTGGTCTATCAAGATCCACTTGATATCAAAATTCTTCATGCGTAATGTAATTATTAGCCCGTCATTGTGGGGGTTTTGCAATCTTGCCAAGTCCTTGTTAGAGAAAGTGATGATGTTAGTCACTTCTGTCTTCCTTGTTTTTACGGTGGGCTGTACACTCAGTACTTCCTTTAGGTGTTTTGCCTTCTTGATCATTTCTCTAAGCTCGCAGACCTGCTCTGGCTCGATGATCCCATGTATTACATTGATTACGCCTTGAGGCGGACCTTTAGCTGGCATCCCATCGGACTCATTGCGGTCCTGGGGGGCTGGCTGAGCTCCCCCTTCAATGTACTGATCCAAGTGGCCTGCGACCACTAACTCTTCCAAGTGCTGCCTTAGCAGTGTACAATTTTCAGTTTGGTGCCCTACCTCATCGTGAAAGGTACACCGATATTTATTATCATAGCCCCTCTGCGCTTCTCCTAACTTGGCCGGTTGCCAAATGTAGGGTTCGTCGTGTATCTCGCTGAGAATCCAGTAGATAGGTTTATTGAACACCATGGTGATGGCAGTGTGAACTCTCAACCTCCTTGTCTGTGAGTCCTCTCCATTCGGTCGTCTACCTCGACCATTTTTGTTCGGTCGTTCCTTCCGGCCAACCGTGTTAACTTTTGTTGTGGGCTTTTTATCCGACATCACTGTTGTGCTAGACTTTGCCTTGGCATGAGTGCCATCTTCGTCTACTTTGATGTGCTGATGCATTCTCTCCAATAGGGCTTCCATTGTGAGAGGTGGCATCATTTTCAATGAATCCCTCAATTTATTATCTGCCGGCAACCCCTGTTTGTACCGTGCGATAGCTAGATTTTTGGGGCAATCTCTAATTTGATTAAAAGTCTCCCAATACCGGTTGTTGTAAGACTTCAGTGTTTCCTTCTTGCCCATCGGCGTCTTGGTGTTTGTCTTAAATCTGGTAACAAACACCTCTGCAAGTTGTGCCCATGAAGCTATGCTGCCTTCTGGCAACCTCTCAAACCAAGTCAAGCCAAGGTCACCCAAGCTTGAGGGAAGCAAGATACATATTAGAGCCTCGTTCCGTCAATATACAACCATAATCTGGTGAAAGTGGCTCAAGTGCATGTAAGGGTCTGACTTCCCCTCGTAAGTTGTGAACTTAGGTAGGTGGAAGCCCAAGAGTAATGGTGCATTCTCTATGGCCGAAATGAACGGCGAGTTTTGTAACCTTGTTAACATTTTGTTTGCTGGTTTGCAAGCAAGGCGTGGTACTGGCATTCTAACCTCAACACTTCCATGTGTCCTAGGAGCCAACCGCTGCAGAGCAGAGACCCTTTTGGGGTCGTGTGCCTGGGCATCTTCTCTTCTAGCACTGTTCGCAGGTCCGTCGACCTAGACAACTCTGTGTGCTTAGATGTTGTTTGGTACGTATGCGAGGGTCGATAGTTGCTTCCCTCTGCGCAAAACCTTTCGGTCCTCGTTCTCTCAACTTGGAGTAACGAGTCCTAGAAGTCCTTGACTGTGTGTCACCTGTCCTGAGGCTTCTGTTTTTTATTTATGATGGGGTGACTTGCCTGTCACGACCCCTGAGTGGCGAGAATGCGCTATGCCTTTGCGTCTCTTTTCTCTTGCCACCTTTTTGCCCTTTATCTGGCGCTTCATCATCTCTATGTCAGTTGTCATCCTCCTTATCCATTCGTCTTGTTCCTTTACGCGATCTTCCAAAACTTGAGGATCTATCCTCCGCCTTTACCTATCAAGGATTTGAGAGCGGCGAGGACTTGAGCTTCATTTTTCTCACGTGTCTCTCCGTGGATTCTGTCGCTGGGGATCCAATTCTGCCATGGGTGGGACAAAAGGAAAACCTTCGCGCCTCCCGCCCCCTTCCGATGTTTGCCCATCAATAGCAGAATGTGGCAAGTCTTCGTTATGCGCTATCGAAATTAATTAAAGGAAAACTCAATCAAAAGGTTTGTTCTCTGTAAAGTTCCCATAGATGGCGCCAATTGTATGAGCATAGAATAAACTTCTCGTATAATCTTGTTGAACAAGTTTGCGCTTCTCCAAACATTGTCGCTTTACTACCTAAAAACACAAATGTGAGCTAGCCGGCAGGGGGGTGCCAAAAACCTCTCCGATGCCTAAGTCAGTAAATAGACGATAGACACAAAAGCTCTATGTATTTGAGGGTAAGAATTGCAATACCTCTCCATAGGTTTTGTCATTAGCTTTTATAGAATCTACTTGGTACAATCCTAGTAGGACTCTAACTCTTCTCAGTAGAGTCCCCCTAGGAATCACATTCCCAAGGATAATGCCTATCCTGATAACATTCGACTCATTACCAACCAAGTGAGATGGTTCCAACATTCTTACCTCGGCTGGAACAACAATCAACCGAGCTAACACGGCTCCATACTACTTTAGGCAGTATTGAGATAGCCCTCACTGCAGGGCGGTGCCTTGCGGAGCTATATTTAGCACGGCCCTCTTTCCTACTAATACCCCAGTCCGTTACAGGGCTTAGCTTTAAACAGCTGGGTCGGGGCCCTGGCGACATCTCGCATAGCTCAGTACCTAGATGGCCCATAACCGGGATATTTATATTCACAGCTTGCCCCATAGCTTGGCCTAATGCCTAAAAGAAAAATGGATTTGGCTCGGCCCAATTTATTTACATAAATTACCCTCTTAACGACGACCTGAGACCGTCGTCGTATATTCGAGACGAGAAACGCAGTTGAAGATTCATTTGCCACCTCTTCTTCTCCTTCCTTCTTCTTAGTCACAAATGTTCGAATTCTTTGCAATGCAATTTCAACTGTATCATCATCCATGTTAGCAAAGCAAACCTAAACCAACCAGCCTCCGTGCAGTGAAAAGATGATCACGGAGAGACATTGAGTTTCACATCATTGATTATCACACGCCATAGTGCCATTTTAGCATCATTAGTTGGTTCTTTAAGCACTAGGTGCAAATCCATCAAGCAGAAAAGTCCAACATTGCTATTCAAACAATCGATCCCCGTCTGCAGTGGCGTTTCCAGACATTTTTATTATGATAAATAGTCAAAATCTTAAATTTTACAAATTATATTTTTAAAAAAAAATCACACTTTATCAATAAAAAAATATAATAATTTAAACTTCTCAAATCACAAAGAAAAAAATAAAAATAAAACCATGTACATATGTGAACTTTTAAAATTATCCTCATTGAGTTTTCATTTTTTAAATTTGTTATTAATACTTTCAAATAAACATAGCAACTTATTTTCCATTCAACTATGCAGTCGATTTTTTTTTATTTATAAATTTCATTGTCGAAAATGCTTTTTAAAAAATTGTAATTGTAATAGAATTAATGCTAATTTCACAAGCAATTAAACTAACCGACATATGAGATATGCTAACATTTTACCTCTTTCAATCCTTCTGTGAAAATTTTGTGCCTGCACTATAGCCTCCTCGAGCTCTCATCAAGAAACCTCCCTACAAAATCATCATCAGAGAGCATTGAAGCGAGTAAGTATTGAGTTTGGGAAGAGACTTGTGCTGCACCAAAATTTGAGGACATCATAATAAGGTTTAAAACTTAAAATCAATTTTCTTTCTTAAGAACTAATCATTGTTGCCACCAAGTTTGCAATCATCCATTAATTAACAAAACAGAAATAAAAAGTTCTTAAATTAAAACTCCAATCAAACTTAAAACTTAGACTTAGTACATTCAAGAAAGAAAAACACAAATATAAAAAGAAAACTAGAGAAAAACTAGGAAATTCAAAAAAAATGGTTCATGGGACATGGGCACACTTCAAGCTAACCAAGGCTGAATGTCGCCTTCCAAGACCTCGGTGTTTCCTTCGGTTTCTTCGATAACTGGCATAAAACGCAAAAGTTTACGAGTGTGCACGAAGCAATGGAAAGGAGGTGGAGCAGAGGAAGAGACGATGGCTGGATTCCGGTAGTGAGCCAATGGAAAGGAGGTGGAGCACAAAGTAAGGAAGCACAACACGGTCTCATCACTGTCTTTGTGGTCAACATCCCGTCAACTATGGACGCCAAAGCTCTGTACAAACTCTTCATCAAATTCGGGATTGTGAAGGATACTTACATTCCTTTCAAAAGAAGAAAAGTGACCAATTCAAGATTCGGGTTTGTGCGGTATAACTGTAGCATAGCAGCATCTGTCGCAATCCAAAAAGGAAATGGGCTCTTGGTGGATGACTCTATGCTAGAGGTCAAACTGGCTGCTTATGACAGAAATAGCAGAAGTGAACAGAGTAAGAAAAAGCTCCAGCCTCCCAGAAGATTCTCGGATACGACCAATTTCAAGGGTAAAGATGCACTTGTAGGGCACAGATCTTTTGCTGAAGTCCTAAAGGGTGACACCTCTGCAGCGGAAGGTAACACAAACACAAACATAACCATAAAAGCCAAAGAAGAGGGCAATGGTTGGCTGTACGAAAGTGCTATTGTTAGGTTCAACAACGAACATTCCACTCACAACATCCTAAAAGTCCTGGAGGAGAAAGGGATGGAGCAGATAGAAGTCAGAAAAGGAGGAGGTAGAGATGTAATTATCTCCTTTAACTCTACTAGTGCTCTGCAATCAAACATTGGCAAGATCAAAGAGTGGTTCAAGGACGTGAGCCAATCTGTGATGGAATGGAGGCCAGATTATCATCTGCAACAAGAGCGGTGTGTGTGGCTGCGATGCTATGGTATTCCCCTGCATCTTTGGAGTAGGGCTACTCTTAACAGCATTGGCAATATCTGGGGCACTATCCTCAGCATAGACGGTGACGTTTGTCACCCAAAATCCTTCTCTTATGCTACGATTAGAGTGGCTACCGTATGCATGGAGCTCATCAATAAAACTATTACTCTAGAGTGTAAGGGCCACCCTCATCCCATCCTTGTTTGTGAAGACCATCTAGCTGATTCTAGCAGATTGAAGCCCTTCGGCATGAACGACTCCAGCCCCACTGAAACCTGCTTCAGTGATGAGGGTAGGATCCTTCCAGCAGCAGCGGCTTGGGTGAAGATTGATGGTGATGAGGTGGCAGAAAGGAGAGCTGTGATTGGTGCGGACCTGGCTTGCACAAATGAGGTTGTGCAGAGGAAGGTGCTTCCTGCCAGTCACACAGTTGAAGAAGTGGGTACTGTTGTCGAGGAGACCCCCTGTAAAGATGGTACCAGCAGAGACAAAGTAGCATGCGTAGAGGGGTTTTCGATGGAGGGGTCAGTGCTAAATTCAAAAAGTAATGATGGCAAGATCAGGTGTGCTCAGCAGGCCTTCTCTTCTGATCATATTAGCAGGTATGATTTTAATAATGGTATTGGACCTGATATAAATTTGGACGAAAATTTGGCTAATGAACCTCTCACTAGTCTGGGGCCTAGCATAGGGCCTGGCATTAATTTGGAAGTTTTCTTGGCCCACTCTCCTAGTGGCCATGAAATTCTACCCCAGCCCATTGACTCTGATAATTTCAATCCTCTAAGTAACGACATATTAGGCCAAGTGCATTCTGTTAGTCCCATTTCCAAGTCAAGACCTACTGGGTCATTACCCATGAACCTCATTCATTCGGCCAAAGTTAATACAAAGCCTATGCAGCCTGAAAAGAAAAAAGGGAAAAAGAAGACTCATATAGAGGGCTTTACAAGCTTTGCTAGATTCCATAGCTATAGAACTGCAGCAGCTCACAAGCACTCCTCTAAGTCAGTTATTTTCAGTCCAGCAGCTTCTGCTTTTGCTCAATCTGATCTCTCTGATGGTAGCTCATCTTCGAACAATGATCTATTTGAGGAGGCCAAAGCCACTATACACTTGGGGAAATGCTTAGGCATCAACTACAATGGGAAAGAAGACACTGTGTTGAGCAAGATAATTGATCTAGAGCTTAAAGACAAGGACAG